TGTTCCATCTACAGGATGTCCTTCCGGCCACAGGAGGGAGGGAAGCTCCGGGAGTGCTTAGGCACAGGAAGTGCACCGATATCAGGAGTGCCCGGGCACAGGAAGTGCACCGATATCAGCAGTCCCCAGGCACAGGAAGTGCACCGATATCAGGAGTGACCGGGCACAGGAAGTACACAGATATCAGGAGTGCCCGGACACAGGAAGTGCATCGATATCAGGAGTGCCCGGGCACAGGAAGTGCACCGATATTGAGGGGCAGGAGAGGGGCAGGAGAGGGGCAGGAGAGGGGCAGAGGAAGGGACGTTAAACTTTAACACCAATAACATTTAATATCAAAGCCCGGGAGCCAGTGGCATGCCGACCCACCGAGGACACGCGTCTCCACTACAAGTCATACCAAACAGAGAGAAGACTGAAGGGGAGGACGGAGGTCAGATAGAAGACTGAAGGGGAGGACGGAGGGCAGATAGAAGACTGAAGGGGAGGACAGAGGTCAGATAGGAGACTGAAGGGGAGGACGGAGGGCAGATAGAAGACTGAAGGGGAGGACAGAGGTCAGATAGGAGACTGAAGGGGAGGACGGAGGGCAGATAGAAGACTGAAGGGGAGGACAGAGGTCAGATAGGAGACTGAAGGGGAGGACGGAGGGCAGATAGAAGACTGAAGGGGAGGACAGAGGTCAGATAGGAGACTGAAGGGGAGGACGGAGGGCAGATAGAAGACTGAAGGGGAGGACAGAGGTCAGATAGGAGACTGAAGGGGAGGACGGAGGGCAGATAGAAGACTGAAGGGGAGGACAGAGGTCAGATAGGAGACTGAAGGGGAGGACGGAGGGCAGATAGAAGACTGAAGGGGAGGACAGAGGTCAGATAGGAGACTGAAGGGGAGGACGGAGGGCAGATAGAAGACTGAAGGGGAGGACAGAGGTCAGATAGGAGACTGAAGGGGAGGACGGAGGGCAGATAGAAGACTGAAGGGGAGGACAGAGGTCAGATAGGAGACTGAAGGGGAGGACGGAGGGCAGATAGAAGACTGAAGGGGAGGACAGAGGTCAGATAGGAGACTGAAGGGGAGGACGGAGGGCAGATAGAAGACTGAAGGGGAGGACAGAGGTCAGATAGGAGACTGAAGGGGAGGACGGAGGGCAGATAGAAGACTGAAGGGGAGGACAGAGGTCAGATAGGAGACTGAAGGGGAGGACGGAGGGCAGATAGAAGACTGAAGGGGAGGACAGAGGTCAGATAGGAGACTGAAGGGGAGGACGGAGGGCAGATAGAAGACTGAAGGGGAGGACAGAGGTCAGATAGGAGACTGAAGGGGAGGACGGAGGGCAGATAGAAGACTGAAGGGGAGGACAGAGGTCAGATAGGAGACTGAAGGGGAGGACGGAGGGCAGATAGAAGACTGAAGGGGAGGACAGAGGTCAGATAGGAGACTGAAGGGGAGGACGGAGGGCAGATAGAAGACTGAAGGGGAGGACAGAGGTCAGATAGGAGACTGAAGGGGAGGACGGAGGGCAGATAGAAGACTGAAGGGGAGGACAGAGGTCAGATAGGAGACTGAAGGGGAGGACGGAGGGCAGATAGAAGACTGAAGGGGAGGACAGAGGTCAGATAGGAGACTGAAGGGGAGGACGGAGGGCAGATAGAAGACTGAAGGGGAGGACAGAGGTCAGATAGGAGACTGAAGGGGAGGACGGAGGGCAGATAGAAGACTGAAGGGGAGGACAGAGGTCAGATAGGAGACTGAAGGGGAGGACGGAGGGCAGATAGAAGACTGAAGGGGAGGACAGAGGTCAGATAGGAGACTGAAGGGGAGGACGGAGGGCAGATAGAAGACTGAAGGGGAGGACAGAGGTCAGATAGGAGACTGAAGGGGAGGACGGAGGGCAGATAGAAGACTGAAGGGGAGGACAGAGGTCAGATAGGAGACTGAAGGGGAGGACGGAGGGCAGATAGAAGACTGAAGGGGAGGACAGAGGTCAGATAGGAGACTGAAGGGGAGGACGGAGGGCAGATAGAAGACTGAAGGGGAGGACAGAGGTCAGATAGGAGACTGAAGGGGAGGACGGAGGGCAGATAGAAGACTGAAGGGGAGGACAGAGGTCAGATAGGAGACTGAAGGGGAGGACGGAGGGCAGATAGAAGACTGAAGGGGAGGACAGAGGTCAGATAGGAGACTGAAGGGGAGGACGGAGGGCAGATAGAAGACTGAAGGGGAGGACAGAGGTCAGATAGGAGACTGAAGGGGAGGACGGAGGGCAGATAGAAGACTGAAGGGGAGGACAGAGGTCAGATAGGAGACTGAAGGGGAGGACGGAGGGCAGATAGAAGACTGAAGGGGAGGACGGAGGTCAGATAGGAGACTGAAGGGGAGGACGGAGCGTCAGGTGAACACATCTCGCAGTCGGCCTCCATTTTCTGGGATCTATAAATAATCCTGAGGATAAATATCAGTTGCGGCTTTTTTTGGAACGATAAACAAAGAAACAGACAAGTTGCGGCCGGTGAATGTTGCGGCCGGTGAACGTTGCGGAATATCGGAGGGAACAGTTGGAGAATCTATTTATAATGACACATTCACGTCACTCAGTCAGGACGGAGGAGCGCGCTCGGTGTGCACTCCGGTACCAAGCACCGCGCTCCCTGTGGCTTCACCGCGATCAGCTGAGCGCCTGTAATGCTGATTCATACAGCCGCACCCCCCCCTCCATGAATAGGGACTTGTTCTGGAATCAATCCTCCGACAGAAGAGATTAGCAGAACATTCACCCAGCAGGACCAGAAACTATTATCTGTCTCCCCCTCTCCCCCCCCCCCTTCACCCA